AACAATCATTGGATCTATGCTCTATTGTAGTAGCAAAGCAGGCTAAGTGAGTTTTAAAATAAGACCACAAAATTCATCCAAATCATGTAAACTGAAATCAGAATAATGTAATCCAAAAGAGAGGATCTGGATCAACTGATTATAATACCTTGAATTTCAATCACTATATCAAGACTAGGTATAGAAATTCTCTGAACTGCAGACTTGAAATGATATTTTGCATTAAGAGTGTTTTAAACTGTACTGCCAATGTCTGCAATCTTGTATTGTAACAAACTTCTGCAACTTTTTAATTGTCAAACAGATGAATATATTAGCACAGACAGATCTTCATTCACAAAAAAGAAGACATACATTGTAAGAGTATTATTCCAAAGAATTCTAACATTAATACAGAGTGGCTTAAGTTTATTCAGGACTGTTAGTCAGGATTGTTTTATGAACCTAACACATTGTAATACAGCTTCACAAAGAGGCTGTTATTGAAGTGTATGTCAATCACTATATCAAGACTAGGTATAGAAATTCTCTGAACTGCAGACTTGAAATGATATTTTGCATTAAGAGTGTTTTAAACTGTACTGCCAATGTCTGCAATCTTGTATTGTAACAAACTTCTGCAACTTTTTAATTGTCAAACAGATTATATTAGAATATATTAGCACAGACAGATCTTCATTCACAAAAAAAGAAGACATACATTGTAAGAGTATTATTCCAAAGAATTCTAACATTAATACAGAGTGGCTTAAGTTTATTCAGGACTGTTAGTCAGGATTGTTTTATGAACCTAACACATTGTAATACAGCTTCACAAAGAGGCTGTTATTGAAGTGTATGAGAATTCTGGTACACTGTGATTAATGGTTAAATGGTTGTATCTGACAACCTGTCTTTCACAAAGCATTGATGACAAAGCTGCAGTGACCTTTAACATTTCTCACTGATTAATGTCACACTAACCACAATGTGTACAATTTCAAGAGCCCATCATTGCTGGATATTTCTTAACTCACACTGACCATTGCTGTCCAGTCATAGCTGAGGAATAATGTTTATTAGCCTTCATATTGAGACCAACAACACTGATTGAGGCTTCAGGTTTGTTCTGTAAATTTCCATCTAAACACTCATATCATTAAGACAGAGGATGCATATTTTTCAGCACAGGCCAGAACAGCAGCTCCACAAATCTTAGAAATGTGGATGCAGCATTTGTCAGGACCATAAGCATGATTTGGAACTGATACAGGGTACTTCCAGGGGTATGGGCAGATCTATTCCCTTCTCATATGACTCCCATTCAACTTGCCAAATGAGTAACAAGTTACAACAAATGTCTGAGCCAAATTTGGCTTTAGACGAGAGTGTATTTCACTTAAACTTACCTGCCTGTAATTTTCTAGTCCTGAAGACCTTGATTAGCTTGTTCAGGTGAGTTTGATCAGAGCTGAACTCTGTACGTCAGTGGACATCGAGGGACAGAGAAATTCTGCAATACACTACATTAATTAAACTACAGCTCTGCATTGATAGTAAAATACTAGGCTAAATAAAAAAAAATTAAAAAACAGCACAGCAGTAATGACTTTATGAACTTCTTTCCTTCCAAGATTGATACTTTTAGAGATAAAATTATAACCATGCAGCCGTCAGATACAGTATCGCATCAGATAGTGCACTATAGATCCCACGAGGAACAATTCCACTCATTCTCTGCTATAGGAGAGGAAGAATTGTATAAACTTGTCAAATCATCAAAACCTACAACATGTATGTTAGACCCTATTCCATCTAAGCTACTAAAAGCGGTGCTTCCAGAAGTCATAGATCCTCTTCTGAATATTATTAATTCATCAATGTCTTTAGGATATGTCCCCAAAACCTTCAAATTGGCAACGTTATTAAGCATCTCATTAAAAAACCACAACCATCAATTCGTAGCAGTGAATGAAGAGGTATCATATCATTCACAAGAACATTATGGAGTACCACAAGGCTCAGTTCTAGGGCCGTTGCTTTTCACACTTTACATGTTACCCTTGGGAGATATCATCAAGAAACATGGTGTTGGCTTTCACTGTTATGCTGATGATACTCAGCTCTATATTTCTTCGCGGCCCAATGAAAAATTAGCAAAACTAACGGAATGCATAGTTGATATAAAAAAACTGGATGACTAGTAATTTCCTACTACTAAATTCTGAAAAAAAAAACAGAGGTTTTAAATGTTTAGGGATTTAAATGTTTCTGTTCTCATGTCAGATATGTATGTATATATGTATGTATGTATGTATGTATGCATGCATGTATGTACCAAGAGCTTCTTAAAAACCACAACAAATTCCTTGTGTGTTTGCGCACACTTGGCGAATAAAACTGATTCTGATTCTGATTTAATTATTGGACCAAAAACCTCTGCATGTAATAACCTAAACCACTGTCTAACACTTGATGGCTGCTCTATTAATTCCTCGTCATCAGTTAGGAATCTAGGTGTGCTATTTGACAGCAATCTTTCCTTTGAAAACCATGTTTCTAGCATTTGTAAAACTGCATTTTTCCATCTTAAAAATATATCTAAATTGCCATCAATTCGTAGCAGTGAATGAAGAGGTATCATATCGATCACAAGTGCAGTATGGAGTACCTCAAGGCTCAGTACTAGGGCCATTACTCTTCCCGCTTTACATGTTACCCTTGGGAGATATTATCAGGAAACACGGTGTTAGCTTTCACTGTTATGCTGATGATACTCAGCTCTATATTTATTCGTGGCCTGGCGAAACATACCAATTTGAAAAACTAGCGGAATGCATAGTCGATATAAAAAACTGGATGATGAGTAATTTCTTACTGCTAAATTCTGAAAAAACAGAGGTGTTAATTATAGGACCTAAAAACTCTGCATATAATAACCTAGAACACTCCCTAAGACTTGATGGCTGCTCTGTCAATTCTTCGTCATCAGTTAGGAACCTAGGTGTGCTATTTGATAGCAATCTTTCGTTAGAAAGCCACGTTTCTAGCATTTGTAAAACTGCATTTTTCCATCTTAAAAACATATTTAAGCGTTAATTCATGCATTCATGACCTCAAGGTTAGATTATTTTAACGCTTTGGGTGGTTGCTCTGAGCGACTTAATAAACAAACTCCAGCTGGTCCAAAATGCAGCAGCTAGAGTTCTTACTAGAACCAGGAAGTATGACCATATTAGCCCGGTTCTGTCAACAATACACTGGCTCCCTATTGAACAACGAATACATTTTAAAATCTTGCTAATTACTTATAAAGCCCTGAATGGATTCGCTCATCAGTACTTGAGGAAGCTCATATCACATTATAATCCTTCACGTCCACTGCAATCTCAAAACTCTGGCCATTTGATAATACCTAGAATATCAAAATCAACTGCGGGCGGCAGATCCTTTTCCTATTTAGCACCCAAACTCTGTAACAATCTACCTAGCGTTGTTCGGGAGGCAGACACACTCTGTCAGTTTAAATCTAGATTAAAGACCCATATCTTTAACCTGGCTTACACATAACACACTAATACGCTTCTAATATTCAAATCCGTTAAAGGATTTTTAGGCTGCATTAATTAGGTCAACCGGAACCGGGAACACTTCCCATAACACCCGATGTACTTGCTACATCGTTAGAAGAATGGCATCTACGCTAATATTAGTCTGTTTCTCTCTTATTCCGAGGTCACCGTTGCCACCAGACCCAGTCTGTATCCAGATCAGATGGTCACTGCAGTCACCCGGATCCAGTACATATTCAGACCAGATGGTGGATCAGCACCTAGAAAGGACCTCTACAGCCCTGAAAGACAGCGGAGACCAGGACAACTAGATGAGCCCCAGATACAGATCCCCTGTAAAGACCTTGTCTCAGACGACCACCGGGACAAGACCACAGGAACCAGATGAGTCCTCTGCACAATGTGACTTTGCTGCAGCCTGAAATTGAACTGCTGGTGTCGTCTGGCCAGAGGAGAACTGGCCCCCCGACTGAGCCTGGTTTCTCCCAAGGTTTTTTCTCCATTCTGTCACCGATGGAGTTTTGGTTCCTTGCCGCTGTCGCCTCTGGCTTGCTTAGTTGGGGACACTTCATTTCCAGCGATATCGTTGACTTGATTGCAAATGATTGCAAAGATACTATTTAAACTGAACTGAGCTGGATGATGACATCACTGAATTCAATGATGAACTGCCTTTAACTGAAAAATGAGTGTTTACTATTGTCATTTTTGCATTATTGACACACTATTTTCCTAATTAATGCTGTTCAGTTGCTTTGACACAATCTGTATTGTTAAAAGCGCTATATAAATAAAGGTGACTTGACCATATTTGGCTGAGATGCAACTATTTGAAAATCTGGAATCTGAGGGTGCAAAAAAATCTAAATATTGAGAAAATCATCTTTAAAGTTGTTCAAATGAAGTTCTTAGCAATGCATATTACTAATCAAA